AAATAATCTCAACCAATATATAGGCACACCTAGTGAGCATATATGGAAAAATAATATCTCCCAAAACCTAATGAATAAAGGAAACTAGTAGGAAACTCACACTTTTCATAATTTAAACTACTATTATGATTCTACTAATTTCTTACCAACTTGGTCTCATTAATAACAACAAGGATCTACCAAAATTCTACTTTTTTTATTTGTTTTGTGTGTGATTTTATTCTTCTCAATTGTGTGTAATTATATGCTAGATTAATCTATGACCTTAATTTAACTATAAGTTCTATCTTCAAGTTTCTCTCTAAACACTTTGATAACCTAGAGTTTCATCAAGTTTTTATAAAAGGGAAGTTTTGGAGCAACTATTAATAAATTATTTTTGTATGACTAATAGATTACAAATTTAAATTGCTACACTGTTTGCATCATATTTATTGAGGTGCAATCTGCACACAAAGTATATTTTTGCATATAATCGTCTTTTTTCTTTATTATTTCTTTTTATAAGTATATATCGAGTAATGAAATGACTGTTTTAGTGAAAATTTTATTTCTACTGCCGACAATAGGACAACGATTTATTATTTATTGAAATGGCAACTACATGGCTTTAGTGACAGTATAGTTGTTAATAGGCATCTTATAATATTATGGGCATGTGCACTGGCTAACATATCGCATCTCATAACCATGTGCACTGACATAGATCTTATATATGGTTAAATTCCGAGTTTATTTGAATTCAGTATTTTCATTTTTCAATATAAACTATAAAATTGTGTAGAAATTTACAAAAGTTATAATAAATAATTGATATACATTCATAAAGTATAATAATATTAAAAATCTTGAAAATAGATTTATAAAAAAATAAATTCTGAGTTTATTTTTACCCTTCAAATATTGAGGCATTATTAATTAAGGCATTATAAAATTGTCTTCGTACATCATAATTTGGTGAAATATTTTTCTAAGAAAGACGTGCAGGATTGTATAGTAAATATAAAATGACATATATAATATCTTTTTATTTGTTCTATTTTTTTAATTCCATTTTAATTATCATAAAATTATCATTTTGATATATTTAGTATATCTTTAACTTAAAGCTATAAAACTTAAAAGAGTATTTTATTTTTAAAAATATTTACAAATGAAGAGTAGCTTTCCCACAGCCACAACTAACATAATGATCGGAGTATATATATATATATTTATACAAAAAGAGTGATCAATAGGATAAAATCCCTAAAACATTATTTTCATTATTTTAATTTATATAGAAAAATTTAACCTATTTCAAAAAGGAATGAGCTTTTTATATAATTAAAAAATAATTTAACTTAAATTATTATTTTTTTCTTTAATAAAGTTATTTACCACAATTGTTTTTTTTAAAAAAATTCTTCTTAAATTTTGTCTCTAGTTACATCGTGCCACATAAATTGAGATGTGAAGAGAGTATTATTTTATGTTTTCATATCTAAATCATTGAATGTTTATGTTATCCTTTAAACTATAACTCCCTTTAGATTAAGAATTTTCATCTGAATATGTGAAAAAATATTTAAGATAATTATTGAGAGACGTGTGAAAAATAAAAAAATAAAATAAAAATATCACCCTTTTTGTTGATTTAATTTAAACAATACGTAAAGTTCTAAAAAAAACGCAGTTTCAATAAATGCACATTACTGAAAACAAAGGCAGATCTAAAATTATATAGATGTCACGTCATTTTAAACGTGTATAGATGTGTTATTTATAAAATTCAAATAGGGTAACTTTTTGGTCTGGTTAATCAACTTTGGCTTCAGTTAAAAATAGTCGGAAAAAAAATCCTTTTGGCCAGATTTTTTTTTATATAGATAAGGGAAAAATTCTTTTGTTCAAAAAATTTGGTCAGAATTTGATCAAAATGGTAAAATAACATATTTCACACTCAGTGGCGGAATTGCCTTACGAAAAATTATATGATTTATACATGGTTAAATAATTATTTTTTTATATATAGTAGATGTCGAACCCCCTTCGGCTACTTCGTGTGTCTATTTTTGTAGATTTTGAACTCCCTTATTGAAAATTCTGGCTCCGCCACTGTTCACACTATGTTATTTTACCTTTTAAAACATTTTTACCCTTTTAATTTTAATACCTTTTAATTAAAAAATGGAAAATAGATCAGTTTATTTTAAAATAAAAGTATAGACTTTTTAAAATTCTGTTCAAATTTTCTGGCCATTTAGGACCCATAGATAAATTATTCAAACTTATTCATGGACTAATATACACCAAAAACTTAGAAAATTGCCTAATTCCGGTGATATGGCTTCTAAATGCTCAAAATATGTGCAAAAAATAGTGATGCTTCACGTATAACTCCCCCAACTCCCTACGGAGGGTTCCATGAAGGTTTTGCAAAAAACCCGTCTAGAAGCCATATCACCAAAAAATTTATGGGCTAACATACATGAAAAAATTGAGAAATCACCTAATTCCTGTAAAATGACTCTAAATGCCAAAAATATGTGGAAAAAAATGGTGAGGATTCACGTACTACTCCCATGATTCCCTACGGAGGGTTCCAAAAAGTTTTGCAACAAAATCGTCTAGAAGCCATATCACAAAAATATTCATGGATTAACACACACAAAAACTGAGAAAATCGCCTAATTCCTGTAAAATGCTCACAAGTGATCAAAATATGTGAAAAAATGGAGAGACTTCACGTAATGCTTCCCAAACTCCCTACGAAGGGTTCCACAAATATTTTACAAAAAAAATTGTTCAGAAGTCTTATCACTAAAATATTCATGGGCTAATAACACATGAAAAATTGAGAAAATCGCCTAATTCCTTTAAAATGACTCCTAAATGTTCAAAATATGTACAAAACCTGGTGAGGTCTTCACATACTGCTCCCCCAACTCCCTACATAGGGTTTCATAAATGTTTTACCAAAAAAATCGTCCAGAAGCCATATCACAAAAATATTCATGGATTAACACACACAAAAACTGAGAAAATCGTCTAAGTCCTGTAAAATGCTCCTAAGTGATCAAAATATGTGAAAAATGGTGAGACTTCAGATAATGCTCCCCAAACTCCCTACGAAGGGTTCCACAAATATTTTACAAAAAAAACTGTTAGAAGTCTTATCATCAAAATATTCATGGGCTAATAACACACATGAAAAATTGAGAAAATCGCCTAATTCCTTTAAAATGACTCCTAAATGTTCAAAATATGTACAAAAACTGATGAGGTCTTCACATACTGCTCCTCCAACTCCCTACAGAGTGTTTCATAAAGGTTTTGCCAAAAAAATCGTTCGAAAGCCATATCATCAAAATCTTCATGGGCTAACACACATGAAAACTGAGAAAATCGTCTGATTCATGTAAAATGACTCCTAAATGTCCAAATTATGTGCTTAAAATGGCGAGGCCTCACATACTGTTCTCCTAACTCTATACGGAAGGTTCCTTAAAGATTTTGCTAAAATGTTGTTAGGAAGACATCACCAAAATATTCATTAGCTAACGCACATGAAAAACTGAGAAAATCGTCAAATTTCTATACAATGGCTCCTTAATGCCCAAAATATGTGGGAAAAAAATGGTGAGGCTTCACATAATGCTCGCCCTACTTCTTACAAAGGGTTCAGTAAATGATTGGCCAAAACATCGTCTGAAAGCCATATCACAAAAATATTCATGGGCCAACACACACAAAAGACTGAAAAAATCGCCTAATTCCTGTATAATGGTGCCCCTAAATGTCCAAAATATGTGTTAAAAATGGTGAGTCTCACGTACTACTTCCTCAACTCCCTACAGAGAGCTTCGTAAATATTTTGTAAAATTATTAGCCTGAAGTCATATCACTAAAATATTCATAGCGTCCACACGAAAGAACGTAAAAAATCGTCTAACTTTTGCAAAATAGCTCCTAAATGCTCAAAATATGTGCAAAAGATGGTAAAGTTTCACATACTGCTCCCCAATTTTCTACGAAGGGTTCCATAAAGATTTTACCAAAAATCATCTAAAAATCATATCATTAAAATATTTATGGGCTAACACATATGAAAAAATTAAAGAAAAATGATCTTATTCCTTTCAAATGGCTTCTATTTGAGTCATTTTGAATACTTTTATATTTCTTGATTATGACAGAAGATGCTTTTCTATGTTGTGGTGCTTTGGTCCCTCAATACTCCAAAAAGCCTCCAAATAATTGCAGTAGGTGAAGATATATATAATTATTAAATTTAAATTCTAATTATCATCATTAAAAATTATTTTATTAGTATAAATTTATAAAATTAAAATTCAAACTTCATCTCTATCTCTCTCTGTGTCAAGATATGACAAATGCCTGGCCTGCTTTGGACTATGAAGACCGTGGCAAAATAATCTTTTTTGTTATGAATATTTAAAAATTAATTAAGTCTAAAAAATAATTACTTATTTTCTTTTTTAGTTTGTTAGTATAAGAGAATGAATCATTTCCTTTTAAGGAAAAAAAATAATTTTAATATTTCACGTGACATGTTTAAAATCACGAAATAAAATGACTATAATTTTATGTAAGGCAACAAGATTAAAAAATATTATTTATTTATTCAAACTCCGTATTAAATTAATGAATAATGCTAAATGGCCAAAAATTTAAAAAGTATATAATATCCTTTTTATTTTAAAATAAGCTGAATTTTTTTCATTTTTTAATTAAAAGGTATTAAAGTTAAAAGAGCAAAAATGTTCAAAAACACATTTTAATCAAATTCTAGCCAAATTTTTTGATCAATTTTTTTTTCCTAAATTAAATTAGATAATTCATTTTTAAACGTAGAGAATATATATGGTCATAACTTTGGAAATATCGAAAGAATCTTTTCATTTTTCAAAAAATGACTTTCTTAAAAGTAATGCTAATAATATAAATATTCCTTTTTATTTGCCTCTACAAAAGTAGTAATAACAAAAAGGGATTATTTTTTTCCATTTTAGACAGAAGAAATGGCGCTTTCAAACTCCGACGGCTCAAAGGGACTCTTGCAGACTCGAGAATTGTTTGAGGTATCTAATTACTTGTTATTATTTTTTCATTTTAATTTGTTTGATTTATTATTATTTTTTTAAAAAGAAAATTGTATTTTTTTCTTTACAATTATTTTTGATAATCATCTAATTTTTTGGTTGATTAACTATCTAAAATTTTGTTTTGTTGATGATGATTTGATTCTTTGTGTTGTGATCCCTTTTTCCATTTTTTTCTACCCCTAATTTAATTTTAATTTCAATTTCTTACCTGACAGGTCTAAAATCATAAAATTTAAAAATATTTATGTATATGTGCGAAGTTAAAATCAGATAAAAAAAAGGTTTAGGGAAGGAAATTACAAATCGGAATTAATAAATTTTGATTTTGCTGATGAAGATTCAATTCTTCGTGTAGTAATTTCTTTTTCCATTTTTTTCTACGCCTAATTTAAATTTTTTAATTTAATTTCAACTTCTCATCTGGCATGACTAAAATCATAAAATTAAAGTATATTTTAGTACATTTATAAATTTTTAGTTTAAAATCATAAGATTTTCTTAAATTATATATGAAGCCAAAATTAGATACAATTAGGTTTAGGGAAGGAAATTACAAGTCTGAATCAATAAGGTAAACATTCAAATAGTCAATTAACTGAGTTAATTTAAATTTCCGGACAAATAAATTAAAACAGAGAAAGTAATTTATCTTTTTAATTTTTCCTCCCTGTAAGAGAGGATCAATAGTGTTCTTACTTCGTATCTACTAATTAATTGTTACTCTTATGTGTATTTTTTTTTTTTTTTGTTAAGTTATACTCTTATGTGTATTTTTTTTTCTTTTGTTAAGTTATAATCTAATCCATTAATATATGTATATTTTATGTTGTGATAATTCAAGTATGTATTGGAGACTAGTGTATACCCAAGGGAGCCAGAGCTTCTCAAAGAGATCAGAATTATAACTGCAAATCATCCACGGTAATTTTCATTTTTTATTGGCTTTTATAATTGTTAATATCATTTTAGCCCTTAATTTCTTGAGTGCAAAATTAATTTAGACATATTTCGTTGAAAAATTATCCTATTTGACGAAATTTTAATTTCATATGTAAATATTATATAAAAAAAGGTTTAAAATGTTCATATTAAATTTTTTATCCCAAAATATCCTTATTTTTACTTAATTAGGTCAAAAATGTCTTTTTCATTATAAACATGTTTTTTTCTTTATAAACACATTATTTTTCGGATAAAAATGTTATTTTTTTAAAATTCTTTTTTCTATTAAAATCTCTTTAACTAATAAAAAAGTGAGAAGTAATTTTTATTGTTCTTAATGTCATTTTATTAATAACAATGAAATAATTTCATACCATTTTAAAACTGATAATATAAATCTTATATATAAGATCATAGTAACACATCATTGATTTTTATTTAGATACGTTGATAAATAAAGTTGTTGTTCACCCAAAAAAAAATTTAACTTTAAAACCAAAGAATATATGCTTATCCTACTTCAATTCGAAAAATATTTAAAAAGTAAAAATATTTGCTAGTTTATTAAAAAAACAGTTTGTATCGTTATTCAAATAAAAATTAATGATAAAGTTACTATAATAAAATGTGATTAAGAGGATTTTTTTACTTTTCACCTTATTAAAATTTCTGACTCGACCACGACTAATACAGGAGTCTGATGTCAACTTCACCAGATGCTGGCCAACTAATAGCTCTACTTCAGAAACTGATAAATGCCAAAAATACTATTGAAATTGGAGTGTTCACTGGATATTCTTTGCTCCTTACAGCACTTACAATTCCTCAAGATGGCAAGGCTAGTTCATCTCACTTTTAAATAATATTTTCTTCGTTTAATTTGTTTAGCTAATAAATTTTAAAATAATATTTCGAGCTATAACTAGTATGTGATCAATTTTTTTGGAAGTTCTTGTTAATGTACTTTTCTCAAAAGTACTTTTAAAGAATCTTTTTTAGTTTGTAAAAAATAGTTTCTATTATTTTTAAAATACTTATTTTCTTTCAAAATCTTAACAAATTACTTTTCTTTTTTTAATATGCCTGGTCAAACCAGATATAAATATGCAAATTTTTGGAGGGGAAAAAACCAAGAAATCATGATTTGAGCCATTCAAGTGCCAAAATACAATTGCACTATGTCATGTCAACTTTGAGTATTTATATTATGAGCAGTGATAGAACTAGCAAGGGTCGAGTGGTTCATCCGGGTCTTTTTGGTTAAAAATTTATATTATCTATATATCATTAAAAATATTTTTTATTTGTATATAATAATGTTGAACCTCCTTTAAAATTTTCATATGTTTACTTTTTATATTTCAAACTCTGTACGATTCTTGTGAATTTTGGGTGTGTTTGAATTCAGCCTCTAGTTAGGTCTTCACTGAAGGATTGTCCACCTTCTCGAGCCTTGTCACTGTCTATAAGACATATTCTTGCCAACTTGAAGTGTCAATTTGATCATTGATTAAGTTTAAATGTCTAATTTTTAAATTGTGCCAAGTTTAAATGGTTATTTAGGAATTTAGTCTTTTCTTAAATTTCATATCAAGACAAAAAAATTGAAACAAACAGAGTAAATATATATTTATATTAATTTAGTTACATCTAACTTATGAAAGAATTAATATAATGTGGATGCAGATTACAGCTATAGACATGAACAAGGATACATATGAGATGGGATTGCCAGTTATCAAAAAAGCTGGAGTTGAACACAAAATAAACTTCATACAGTCTCAAGCATTATCAGCCCTTGATGAACTTTTGAAAGATGTAAGTACTCTATATAATAGAGGTAATATATCAAATTCTCGATCAAACTTAAACTGTTTGACTCTCGAAAAACGAAATATGTCACATAAATTGGGGAAAAGGGAGTAACACATTTTTAATGAATAACATATTATATTGTGATCTACTTTAAACCTTTACTTATGCATTATGTTATTTGCTTTAATTTGTTGTAGGATGCAACTAGAGGAAGTTTTGATTTTGCTTTTGTTGATGCTGACAAAGTTAATTACCAAAAGTACCATGAAAGATTATTGCAATTGGTGAAAGTTGGTGGTATAATAGTGTATGATAACACACTATGGTTTGGGACAGTTGCTATGCCAGAAGAGTTTGTTAAGGAAGAATTGAAACCAACTAGGTTTTACAGCATTGAATTTAACAAGTTTCTAGCTAATGATGATCGAGTTCAAATTTCTCAAGTCCCTTTAGGTGACGGAATCACCATTTGCTGGCGACTCTAATTTGGATCATTGTTACCCATTGTTTCATAATGTATTGTATTGTATTGTACTCTATTGTATGGTTGATACAATGTTTGGCTAGACTGTATTGTTTGTTGTTGTTTAATAACATTTTTATTGTTTGGTTTGACGGTATCGTATTGTATTGTGATTTATAAATTTACTAAAATATCCTTAATTATTCTAGGGTAGGAAGTTTGACTAGAATTAAATAATATAAGGTAAAGGGTAAAATAGTATTATGAAATATTATGTAAAGATATAAATAGAAAAAGAAATTAAGTAACAATGGAAACACACCAAATTGGTTGTTCCATAAAATGGGGGTTTTCATTGTTACGTAACAACGGAATTTAACAATACAATACAACACATTTTAAGAAACAATCAAAACAAGCATTATAGGTATAGTCACGATACAATACAATACAATGGGTAACAATGATCCAAACAGAGTGTAAAGATTCTGAGGGTCTATCAAAAACCACATGTTCATCTTTAAAAGTTAAGAATAAGACTGCGTACATTTTATTCACATCATATTCATTTTACAAAGTATGTTGCAAAATTGTGCATAAGTTTATCTACACAACTTCAAATGACTGAAGTGTTGGAAACTAAACTTCAAGTTCAAGGGCTACTATTTTTCCTAAATCCTCATGTTTTCTATTCTCTCTTGTCGCATGTCGACCGATGTAGTCTAGCCTCAATTGATGTTGCCTGGTCGATGCGCCCAGGCCTTGGCCGATGTAGCCTACCTCGGTTGATGTCGCCTGGCTGAGGCACCCAAGTCTAGTCGATGTAGCCTGGCCGATGTAGCCTAGCCTCAGTCGTTGTCGCCTGACCGGTGTAGCCTAGTCTCAATTGATGTCGCCAAGTCGATGCGCCCAAGCCTTGGTTGATGTCGCCTGACCTCGGTTGATTAGCCTAGCCAATGCGGCTAGGCCTCGTACGATGTCGCCTAGCCTAGACCTACTAAAATCGGTGCAAGTCGAGCATTCTTCATCGAAATATTATATAAAAAACTACATGAAGTATATAAGTTTACAAGTGATATGCAATAAATAAAATAATAATCATATTATATTATTATGAAAAATGAAAATATTTAATAATAAGAATAAATTTTAAACTGACTGATACATTATCTTTTAAATTTTTGATGTAAACTACATTTAAATTTTAGCTTAGACAAAAATAGTGAAGGTGATTTTTTCCTATTCATCTAAAAAATTTGTGAACAGATTTATTTGATATATATGTCAGTGGAGGTAAATGCAGACGTACAATGAAATATTAGTCACGATATGTGTGAATGGACTCCAACACTATGATGATACATTAAAAGGAACGTCATGTACGTTACTTCATTTGAAATTAGGGGGCATTTGTCAATTCACTTATCAGGGTGTGTTTGTTATGAAGGAATTTATTTTTAAAAATATTTTAAATTTGTTTTATGTTTGATTGACCAACTTTTTTAGGAAATATTGTTTCTAGGAAAATAAATTTCACAAAAATGACGAAAACGATTTGCCTAATGGAAATGGGGAAACTAGTTACTTATTAGGATTAATTACCTATATACACAACATTATTTAACATATTTTCATTATTCCCTATCCTTTTTAAATATTACTAAAATCCCCCTTTTTAATCCATTAAACCCAACTTCCTGATACATAACTTATTTTTACTCCTTAAATCACTCTCTTTTTTACTTCCACAATCTTATCAGTTTATTCTCTCAATACAATTTTGAATTTTAAGATCTTTCTCTTTCTAGTCGATCATCCATCAAGATATTGTTTCAAATTCTTTCACTCACAGTTCATAATTTTTTTTTGTTTTTCTTCATCAAAATTTTGATATATTATGGATGATGCACCTTCATTCAATATTGGGATTACCCAGATAATGTTATCTAACCAATTGTGTTTTATGATTACGAAGAAATTAATTGGGCAGAAAACAGATCTAAGAAATTGCATAATCCTTTCGTAATGGCGAAAGTAAACATTAAGAAGGTGAAGAAGCATAGTCCATCTTCTTCAAAAGTGCAGTCGATAAAATCAATAAAAGAGGTGTCGAAAAGTCGCACCAACAATTTCTCAGCGTTCTTTACCTAAGGTTAGATTTTCCATCTTTTTATCAATTTTTGTGATCGTTAAAACTTGATTTTATTAGTTTAATGATTTTATGATACATTAATGATTCAATACTTTTTTAATGTTGTAATTCAACAGGATTTAGTTAGTTTTGTAGATAATTTGAGTTTGTCGAGAATGATTGCGGCATCTCAAATATCCCTCTTCCTAATGTAATTACACGCAAGATTTTGGTTGGAGAAGTGAGAGGAAGTTGAACAACTTTTGGAGCTGGAAGAAGCTTTAGAAACAATTGTCGCTTTTTGGATATAAACATTCATTGAAAGGGGGGGGGGGGGGGGGGTAGAACATGTTGCTAAACATTCAATGTATCGTGTTCAAATATTATGTATATGACATAACTACGTCAAATTGTCTAATTGACTATGTATCGATGTTGTTATGTATATGCAGTACTGTTTTATAACTAAATGTGTGTTTATCATATTCACAGTTTATCATAACTAGTTTTTTTGATATTTTGTTGTTCAACTTTATCTGATAAAAAATGAGGGGGGGGGGGGGGGGGAGTAGAACATGTTGGTAAATACCCTTCTATATCCAAAGTTTAGATTTTTAATGTATCTAATTGATAATGCCTTCGTTTCAACTTTATGATACATTAAATTAACCTTTGTTACCAAACAATAATGTATATATCTTAAATCAAACAGTCAGACAAAGTTTTAGTAAAGATTGATACATAGATAAATTTTAGTTAGTTTTTGATTCATTCATGTATCTAATTGATAAATTAATTCTTACTTATTGTAATACATTTATAGATACACTTTATTTTATTTTACATACTACTTTTTCACAACCTTATTGTATCAAATACATCATTTTCAACTAGATCATGATACATTATATAAAAATATATCAGAACCATATTGAGTGGTACCATCTCCACAAACACAATCTCTTGTACATTATTATCAAATAGCTAATGATACATTATTTTAAAAAGGTTTATAAAAATGTGTTACAAAAATGAACACTACATTGAAATTTTGAAATTCTTAACATTTCAATTTATTGTATCAGAATTTCACTAGCAAATAGTAAATTGTAATGTTTTATCAAAGTAAAAGTGAAAAAAGCAAAAAATTGAAAATTTATAATCTCAAAATAATGTATCTGAAACATAACAATAGTTCCAAAAAAGAGTTTTTCAATTTTCTTTCGGAAAGAAAGTACAAGTTCTTCGTTTGTGACATTCTTGTCCACAATGTACACAAATGCTTTGTGTTTGTGCTTATCTTTCCATCGAGATCTTTTCCCTTATTTTCCTTGGTCGTCCAGTCATCTTTTTGTACCTAGGTGGCAAGACAATTTCTTCCAAAACAAATTTCGATACTGACCAATCGTCCTTATCCAGCATTGAAATCATTGGAACTTCATACGTATTTGCTAATGCAGCTGGTTTGTAGTAATCAGAGCAGAGATGTATCTATGATGTTTTTGCTCTTTACAACAGCAATTGCATGCGGACAAGGTATCTCGTCATGCTGAAATCTACAGTTACATATTTTTCTCTCAAGGCAAACAATGTATCTTCGTCCACCTTTATACATTTAATAAATAAATTTAGAAGATGGAACTACTTGCGCACATTTGAAAGTTAGAGATACATCACATATCAATTAACTCAATTTAAGATACACAACATTCTAATGATAACAAACTCCAGATACACGATAATTTATAAATTGATACATACCTTCATATATCGATTAAAAAGTTCATATACTGATACATTAAAAAAGAAATTCACATATATCTGATATATTATTGTAACAACACACTAACTCACATCTATAAAAATCCATTGCATATACATCAAAGTAGAATTGAATCAAGTTGAAAATCAGTAATATATCATGATTGTATATGCACATACAAATTCAATAATCAAAAAAGAAATTCATATATATCTTATACTTTATATTAACAGTACAGTAACTCACAGATCTGCAAACCCACAACATATACGTCAAAATTTTAATGTATCAAGTTCTAATTAGTAATGCATCACGACTTATCGGTCAAATACAGATTCATGAATGAAAAATAATGTTTAAAACACAAGAATATGTGTTGCATACCTTTTGTTATCAGATCTTTCAATTCGAAAATTGAAGCTATGGCAAATAAATATAACAACTTTTGCCCAAGCTAATTATAAAATAACAACTTTCAATTGCCTTCATATTTGGGATCTGACATCACACAATCAGTGGCGGACCCAAAAATTTTACCAAGTGAGTTCAACATATAACAAAAAAATGAAGCAGTATTAAATGTTGTGGGTGAGAATCGTACCCGCGATACATTAGTCAAATTGTCACTACTTTGCCGTTGGGATACATGTTAATATTGGTTTACGTGGGGTCAAATTAATTATATATAGTGTTTTGTTTCAATTAAAAAACAGATTGAATATATATATATATATACAGTGTATTTTTTCGACAAAGTGGGTTCATATGAACCCACATGCAACAAGGTAGGTCCGCATAAAAATAAAGATACCAAGAAAGTTTGCAAAGAAACCCAAGTCCTGATCGTCAATCATAGTGAGATTTGTGTAGAATTTGAAGAACCCAAAAGCTATGATCTTCAATTTTTTTCTTCCTTCGAGAGTGTCAGTCAAAAATCAAAATATTCATTATGTATCTTATCAAATTTTCAACAAAAGTTTTGAATTCTACTCGAAAGTTTCTTTGCTGAAACAAGGACAAAGAAAAAATTGAATTTTGAATTTTGAATTGATTTGTTATTTTAGGATTTATGTTTCTCTAATTGACACAGGAAAAAGGATCTAAATAGCGTAAATTATG